CCTAGCTAGCTGCTGACTGGCTCCTAACTGGCAACGGACGACACCTGAGAAGAAGAAGGTGAAGGATTCCCGGGGAATTTGCTCGGCAGGAATACTTCGAAGCTTAAGTTAGAACGCTGGGGTAGAAAGTAAAGAGTGTAAAGAGGCTAAGAGTGTAGGTCGCGTTAGATCACTGAGTTCTCAAGATTATCTCAAGAGCAAGTAAGATGACTCAAAATCAGATTCAATCAGAGATCCCTCTCCCCTTCGACTAAGGGGCTTTTATAGGGGCGTTCTTGTCAAATCGGGCGTAACCGCCACTGGGCTTCTGTCGCAGTCGTTACCTGCCAGGGCTGTGCAGGTGACCGTTGCAGGGTACTACCCAATTGGATGGGTGACACGTCCCGGGAGGACAAGCACGCCACCATCTGTCGAGAGACGTGGGTACAGTCTGTCAAATGGGCAGGGACTGCGCCGTCAGTCAAGAGACGTGGCGTAGTCTGATGGGTACGATCTTGTCAGATAGAAGCTTCCTGAGAGCATCGCGTTGCTTAGTCGTGAGCTACCCTGTCGTGCAACGAGCTATCTTGTCGCGAGGTACTTTGTGGCGAGCTCCTAGGGGTACTTCGAGGTGATCCTCATCGAGATTGTCTTTGGGGCAGTCTTTCTGCCTAAGTGTTGGAGCGAGCTGGTTACCCTAGCTCGCGAGTTGGGATAGTCTTGGAGTATTCCCTTTCAGTAACTTGGGGGACCTCGAGCGTGTGTTGTAGCGAGCTCCCCCTATAGCAAGCTATGACGTAGCGAGCTGCCCTGCAGGTTCGTTACTTAGTCGCAGTCAGGCTGTGGTGCTGAGCTGTTGCTCGTGCTGAGTTAGATCCACGTGTCATTGTCTCAAGGGGTCGGGTTAAATCATCCTCCATCATATACTATAATTAATATTTATTTTATTTTTAGTAATTATTTATTGTTTTTTTTATAAATATGCTTTCAATAATTATTTATAAATGTATTTTTTATTTTGTTATTTAATAGAAAATCATCAATATTTATTGGAGATTTAAAAACTGCTATTTAACTTTTGAAATTTAATTTATCGTATTTATTGCATTTTTGTTATAAATTTATTTTTAGTAATTATATATTTTTTATAATTTATAGATTAATACTTATTAGAGACTAAACTATTATTTAAGATTACACTATTTATTGACTAATTTAGTATATTTTCAGTATTTATTATATTTTTGCAATTATTGTATTTTTGTTATATATCTATTATATTTTCATTATAAACTTATTTTCAATAGTTGTGTACGTTTGCTATAAATTCTCAATAATTATTAGAGATTAAACTATTGTTATTTATTAGATATTAGACTATAAATTTAGTTGAAATTAGGGTGTTCAATGGTTGGCTCAGTTCAATTGTAGGTTGTTTCGCCAACCAAATCGACCTAGTCAAATCCGTAGTTTGTCACTCGAAATTGATTGACCATTAGCAAAAAACTCACCAAATCGACCTG